CTAAGTATACCCTAAGCCCTAAACCCAACGACGTTGCGAGCTCACAGGCGGAGATAGCGGTGAGGAAGTCCAAGCTCGTACCTCTTTGCTGGAGCCTTTACGGGGCTTAGGGTTTAGGGTTTAGGGTTTAGGGTTTAGGGTTTAGGGTTTAGCATCCAGGGGTTTAAGGGTTTAGAGGCTTAGGATTTAGGGTTTAGGGTTTAGGGTTTAGCATCCAGGGGTTTAAGGGTTTAGAGGCTTAGGATTTAGGGTGGTCTACGGGTTTAGGGGTTTAGGGCTTAGAGGTTGAGAGGTTTAGGGGTCTAGGGGTTTAGCGGTTAAGGGTTTAGAGGTTGAGAAGATTAGGGGTTTCGGGGTTCAGAGGTTTAGGGGTTTAGGGGCTTAGAGTTCAGATTTAATTACAGGGCCTTTGTAGGGTGCAGGTATAGTTGTAGGGGCCTTTAATCATTAGAGTAAGGCTTGTCGGCGTAGAAAAATGGACTTCTGTCGGAACTTTTAAGGTTGTAGCGTTCCGGGATGTTCGAGCTGAGGGGTTTAAGAATATAGGGGCGGTTGGCAGAGTTGTGTGGTATTCAAAGGGCTCTGGTATGGAATGTAGTGGCTTTTTGTTCTTTTTTGGGGGACGGTTTGTAGTCGGTTCGTGATGTGATGGAAGCCGCTTGGGATACTCCATGGCCCCTGCAGCCGACACAAAGAGCTAAAGTCTCAATCTCAATTTCACACCGAAGACACCACCCTTGAAGAAACGTAGGGGCCTTACAAGCAGAATCGCGTTTGGATCTGTTGGGGGTATATCGTTCTGCGAATTATATAAATACTTTACGGAAAAATTAGGCCCTGCACTAGACTTCTCCCCAGAAAGCCAGGGTGCAAGGAGTTTGCTTTGCTACGGAAACAACTTAATCGCTGAGCTGTTGATCCTGAACCCAGTCTTGAGAGTTCCAGGTTTCGGGCTTACTGTTTAGGGTTAGGGTTCAGGGCTTATCAGAGTTTTGGGCGTCTGGAAACCTTAGGCTTTGAGCTCAACCTAGAGGGCTTAATTACTGGTAATGACTTACCCCGATTAGTTCTTAGGGTTCCTGCTTGCATTCATACCATGGTACTATGGCCGCCTAAGGAAGGAAACCCCAAACCCTAAACCCTATACCCTAAACGCAGCATTCATACCACGATCCTATGCCCGCCTAACTTTATTCGGAAGGAAGGTTCAAGTTGGCCTCCATGTCAATATCTGTGGGGAGTCGAAGCACCGAGGATACCTGCACATGTCAGGGTTTAGGGTTTAGGGTTTAGGGTTTAGGGTTTAGGGGTTTAGGGTTTAGGGTTTAGGGTTTAGGGTTTAGGTTTGGAGTTTTAGGTTCAGGGTTTTGGGTTTTGGGGGTGAGGGGTTTAGCCGTTTAGCTCAGGGGCTTCGAGGTCTCGGGAGTAAGGTTTAGGGTTTAGGGTTTAGGGTTCAGGGTTCAGGGTTTGGGGTTTGGGGTTTTAGGGTTCCGGGTTTGGGGTTTGGGGGTCGGGTTGAGGGTTTGTGGGTTTAGGGTTTAGGGGTCGGGTGTAGGGTTTACGGGACTTTCTGGTGCTGCTGCCAAAAGAGAGGTTCTCATAAATCAAACCCGTAACCTTGAACCAAGAATCCTCAACCCAAACCATATGCTTTAGTTTAAGAGCACTTGTAAACCCTGAGCCCCAAACCCTAAAGGCCCTGAAAACTGTGATAAATACTGGTCTTCACCACGGATACGCAGACACTGAGCGAAGGGAACCGGGTTTAGGGTTTAAGGCTTGGGCCTTGGGCGTAGGGTTCAGGGCAGGCTTCAGGGTTTAGAATCTCAAAAAGAAACCGGCGTTTCACTGCGGCAGCTGCATCCAGCTTCAGAGCAAACCGTATCCCTCATGTTCCTGGTGTGCAGACCTGGTCAAAGGCAGTCGATTTGCACGGCTGAACCAGAAACAAATCGCAGAGGCTGACGCTGCGACAGGAAAGGGCGCCACGGCCTAGTTGCTGCCGCCCTTCCCTAGAGCTCCAGTTGGTTACGAACCATATATTCAGTGCCCCAGTAACCTGCTTGGAGGATCATGGGACTTAGTAAGTAAGGTTATAAGGCCCCTAATTGGGGTTATAAGTATAGTTACCTTAGTTATAACCCTACTTACTAAGTCCCATGATCCTTGAAGTACGGTTTAGGTAAGTGGAGCGCTAGGGCTTGGCTTCTGCGGATGACGGCATAGGAGGGCGCACCGGTGAGGCGCCTCCTGGCGCAGAGGTCTGGCTGGTCGACACGCTTAGTGTGACGAGGTGCCCATGCTCCTAAACCCTAAACCCTACCCTAAAAGATTGGACGAGCCCATTCGAGAAAACTTGAAACCAGAACCCTGACTCCTATAATACATGTTAAACCCAAAACTCCCAAAGCCGCGGCCTCTGAACCACTAATCCCTTCTAGGTCACGGTGTGTTCTTGAAACTTGACGATACTTCGCCCCCGTACACGTGCCTAACAAATCTGAAAGTCGCCTCTTACATCCTTACTACACGGGCCTTAAGAATCCGGTTAAGGTTTACATAGGGACCAGAATTCGGATTTGGGAAGGTCATACCAAAATTAATGTATGCAGGCCCCCTTTGTGCCCAGCCCTGGACGTACCCTGTGGCCCCTGTAGCCCTATAGTACATGGTTTGCTTGGCAGCTGTCAGGCCATGAGGCAGGGGCTGATCCTCTGAAATGTAACGGTAGGGGCCTGAATAATTAGAATAGGGCTTGGGGCCCCTTTAGAGTATAATCACAATAAAGGAACCATAAGGAATAACATTAGTTATTTTTTGGGGCTTCTCTATTCTTCGGGTCTGGTGCTTCCCAAATCAAAACGGATGTTCAGAGGGGGGCTTCAGGGGTTTAGGGCTTCAACGATTTCGAAAGTCTGAACGGGTTCGGAGGTTTGGGTTTAGGAGTTGAGGGTTTAGGGGTTTAGGGTTTAGGGTTTAGAGGTTTAGGGGTTGAGGGTTTAGGGGTTTGGGGTTTAGGGTTTAGAGGTTTAGGGCAAGGGTTTAGGATCCAGACGCTTTGGAACTTTGAGCTGAGTCGTTGGAGTTCAGCGAAGCCCGGGCTCGCTGAGCTAAAGCAGATGTGGGAAGGACAAAACTGCTTTCTGCTAGGACCTAAGCAATATGTTTCACTTGAGGGGATCCATACCGTCGCTATAGTAGGCGTTCTTCGGATAGGGTTTAGGGCAAGGACTTCCAATATCCGTTGATTAAGGAATATAGCCTTAATAATAGTAGGATCCCTAACATGGCAAATATGATTTCACATGATTTAAGGTACATTCCTCAATTAAGGGATTTTGGAAGCTCTGGGTAGGAGGGCCATGTCCTGGGCCAAGTGGGTCGGTCTGGGGCTGTCTTTGGCGCCTGGTCCTAAAGCTCCGATTCTGAAAACCATACACCCCATAAGCCTAAACCCTACAACCTATAAATCCAATACCCTAAGCGGAGAACATGCCAAACCGTGCAGGTCTTTTAGGGGTTAAGAGGTTTGCGGTTTAGGGTTTAGGGTTGACGGGACCCAAAACCTGAGATTCTATGTCCTTAGAGCCTCAGAATTACAACACTCTCTCGGAATCCTAGAGGGACTCCTACATCATAAACCCTGCACCCTAAACCCTGAACCCTAAACTCTAAACATTGAACCCTACACCTAAACCGTGAGTCCTAATCAAGCCCCGAACCCAACACCCTACACCCTATGAGTCCATGAGCCCCATGTTCGGAGTACGACACCTCCGGCGGGCATCTGCTGGAAGGTATTCGCGCTCCTGCTGCGGACTCAGACGGGCCTACTTGGAGGATCGTGGGACTTAGTAAGTAAGGTTATAAGGACCCTAATTGGGGTTATAAGTATAGTTACCTTAGTTATAACCCTACTTACTAAGTCCCATGATCCTTTAAGTACCGTCTGGGGTTCCTGTACGGGTTCTGGGAGAATGACATGCCTTCAACCTCAAAGGCTCGAAAGGCACGAAGTTTACGTCATGGGTTTAGGGACTAGGGCTTCGGGTTTAGGGTTTAGGGTTTAGGGTTTAGGGTTTAGGGTTTAGGGACGCAGGGCTATAGAGCTCTAAGCCTTGGATCTCCAGGGGCTTCGGGTTCAGGGGAGTTCAAAGGTCAATATCTTTTTGTACTTGCGCTCAGGGTAGCCACGAAAGACTAGTAGTTGGGGAGTATATGAAGATCAGTTGGCCCGGGTAGGCGTCGGTGTTCCGGACAGTTGCCAGTTTTGGATTAACTCTGAAACCTTGCCGAATAAATGTGGGCTTAGGGCCTTTGGTGCAGGGTGCGGGGTTAAAGGCGTTTCGATTTTAGTCTTAGGGCTATGCAGTCGAGAGCCTGGGGTTTAGAAACTCTTCGGACTCATGCAGAGCTTAACTGTGGGTTTCTGGGTGTCAAGCCCACCAAACTGACCTTAAACCCTGGGCCCACAAAACAATGAGGGCTCTGCTACAGAATCGTCTTTACCCTAACCCTAAACCCTGAATCCTATCAACTTTGAACCCTGTATAAGCCCTACAGCCCGAACTCCCGAGAGCGTCCAGTATCCAAGTCTAGCCCTTACCCTCCCAGGACTCGGGTTTAGGGTTTAGGGTTTAGGGTTTAGGCTTTTGGGCCCAAAGACCTTATTCTGCGAGGCTGTTGGGCTATTTTGATGCCAAGGGTAGTAGGGTTTTAGGTCCCCGGCACTATGCTGTCAGTGCTTCTTGTGGCTCCTGATTTAGGTTTAGGGTTTAGGTTGGGCTCCTGAAGCCCTATCATGTACTGGGAATACTCGACTCTTCGACATCCGTATCGACAGTACAGGAAGCACCTGTAAGACCGTGATAGAGCCCCGGTTTTGACTATACAGCACTCACGTCTGCAAGCAGCTAGCAGAGGGTTTAGGGTATACCTTAAACTACCAAACCCCACTTTTTTGTAGGTTCTTACTATAAACCCTAATATGAAATTTATAGGGACCCTACAAAAAAGTAGGGTTTGGTAGGTTAAGGTAGGATTTACCAGGAATTGCTCCTGTCTCGTCGGCGACCGAAGCTTCTGGGTTGCAGACATCGGCGATTGCGGGGAGGGCCTTGGCAACTGGATCCCGACTGGCAAACACGGTTTAGGGTTTAGGGTTCTTGGCAACTGGATCCCGACTGGCAAACTAGCATTCCCAAAGGCTCCATGTACCTTTATAGTAGATACTTAGGCCTTAAAGGGGTCCCTATATAGGTACTTTAAGGCCTAAGTATCTACTATATGGGTACATGGAGCCTTAGGGATTCAGGTCAGGGCAAGCTTACGTTGAAGCCACAAACCCTGAGCCCTTTCTTGTGATCTGCTTTAAAAAACTTGTTGAGCAACTTCTAGCAGATGAACCGTGTAGCCACGTGATTCGTCTCTCGCGCGGCCTCCTTACTGGGAGTATCATGGGACTTAGCAAGTAAGGTTATAAGTAAGTAGCCTAATTGGGGTTATACTTCATTATAATTGTAGTTACCTTACTTCTTAAGCTAGTTACTGAGTCCTTGATCCCCGGGCCCCCTCTGAACCCCAAGCCCTACACCTTGAACCACAAACCCTAAACCCCTAAACCCTAAACCCCCAAACCCAAACCCTTAACCCCTAAACCCCTAAACCCCTAAACCCCTAAACCCCAAACCCCAAATCCTAAACCCTTTAAAGTAGCATGCGGATTCCGTAGCCAGGTCAACCGCCCCTGCCTTTGAGGCACGACAGTTCGGGAGCCAACACATGCCAGACACCACTTCGACTAAAGTTTAGGGTTTAGGGTTTAGGTTTTTGGTTTAGGGTTTCTAAAGTTTATAATTACATCGGAAAGCCCTGACCCTAAGCCGAAGGCGCTAAGGTTCGTGTCCTAAGGTTTTTTTGGCTCCCAAAACCAAAAAATCAATCTGTTGCAAAGTCTGGGCCTTCCTACAAAGTCGTAGGGTAAGGTCGCACATTTCTGTTTACATGTATGTATCTGGTAAAGCGGCTTTGGATCGATCTCCACGTTGGGCAGGGACTTGCAGCGGGGTAGTGGAGCTGATTGGCTATGGCGAGCGATGTGCTCCTGGCGGGCTCGTTGGCGGAGCTTCGGGGAATAGGGCTTGGGGTTTAGGGTTTAGGGTTTAGGGTTTAGGGTTTAGTGTTTACGGATTAGGGCTTGGGGTTTAGGGTCTTAAAACTGTAAGATTTGAAGCTTAGGGTTTGGGGTCGTTTAGGATGGGTTCGACTTCAGGGTTTGGAAAAACCAGGCAATGTTCCCATCAAAGTGCCGTTCATCATCGAAATGCCAAAACGAAATTGAAAGGCTTCCAAGAAAGCTTCCTGTAGGCCATGAGAACTCACCAAGACATACATGCACTACAACCCCTCTGTCGGCGTTCCTTCAGTGGTTTTAAACATTCGGTCTGAATTTGCGCAATCAGCTGTCTAAACGCAAAGCCCAGCCACTACGGGGAATCCGAAGTGCGAACTTGCAATTTTAGAGGAATCCTTGAGATTGGGGCTTCCTATCGTTTTAGTCGCATCCGCCTGCTCGCCCAGTGCCCGCAGCACCGCGCCGCACCGGGGGCGCCACGCCGACTCACTCAGCATTGGCTCCACCTGGGGTGATGGATTCAAACATCTCTGAATGATAACTGATACTTGGAGGATCATGGGAGTTTTTAAGTCAGGTTATAAGTCCCTTAATTGGGGTTATATAAGTAAATAAGTACAGTTACCTTAGTTATAACCCTACTTACTAAGTCCCGTGATCCTTTAAGTAGGGTTCCCTAAACCCTAAACCCTAAACCCTACTTACTAAGTCCCATGATCCTTCCGAACGTTCTTGAGTGTTGGGTTTAGGGTTTCAGAGGGGGGTGCAAAGAGGGGCCGACCTGTTGTGCCGTAGATCCAGGGTTTAGGGTTTAGGGTTTAGGGTTTAGGGAAATCCTATGTTCGGGCTTTAAGGTGACCCTGCATATAGTAGGTTGATGGTCGTCACAGGATGTTAGAGGTTGGGTTTAGTACGGTTTTAAGCGCGTTTGAGGATTCAAGAATTACGACTACGAGTTCTGCATACCGGCAACGACGGTTTCTAAATTTCACGGGTCAGGGGAGGGGATCGAAACAAAAGGAAAGAAAGCAGTCTGGTCTTTGGCTTCTGTTGGGATTCGCTGCTTCGCTTCGAGCGAAACTAAAACTTCCATTGCTTTATGGGCCGAATCCAACTAGAGGCCATGCCTAGCACCATTCCAGTTAACTTTTTCGTGCGGTCATGTTTCGTCGGCTTCTAGCTTCAGCTGTATATTCACAACAGAAAACAACACAACAAACACATGAACATCGCTTTATTAGCTCCCTGGCCCAAGAAAGATGGGTTCTTAGTGAAGGTCGTATTACCTCTTTAAGGTCGGCGGCTTTAAGGGTTTGGGTTTGGGATTCAGATCCGCATTGCGAGGGAAGGCTATACACAGAAAAAACATACTAACATGGGCACATGGCGGCCTTGATAATTCAATTAGAACTTGGTGGTTCATTAAACTACAAATACCATCAGAAATCCTCAGAACCATATTAGTATGTAAGCATGTAAGCCCCATTACTATGCAATGTTTTCGGGCCGTTTTGGGTCTTAGAAACCAAAGCCAAAGCTTCCACATGTCCGGTAATATTGCGCCTTCCAGACCATTTGGGAAAAAAACAAATACCAGTAACAATGCACAAACAAACCGAACAGCATGGCCCCGAAACTTGTCAGTCAGGTAGAAACGAGATTACTAAGTTCTGCCCACGACTGAGAAACGAGAACTGTCATTATTCCTAACTAGCCATGGGCGTGCGAATACGCGGATGGCGTAAAACTGCGAGACTTCAACACCACTTACTTTAGGATCATTGCTCTAACAGGGGAGCAAAGGGTGTTCAAGCCAAGGTCTGCACAATATATCGACACAGGCAACCAAGTATTTCGTACATAAGTCTTGTGCTGCGGAATCTACAGTGCCTTATGCGATTCGACCGGAATGGGAAACCACAGGTGACGGAGTCTGTTGCTCAACTTGCACCCAAGCCTGCGGTGTTTTGTTCACTCACGTTGACAATGCACACAGAATCGACCATGCTGTTTGAAATGGTTCCACACGGAGACTGCAAGCCGACGTTGTGTCGAAATTGCCCTGCGCACGAAGTTTTGCACAAATTCATTTAGCGGGAAAAGCGCACTTTCGTTCGAACCAATGACACACAGCGACATCAGTTCACTTCACGGGTTACGGCTGTGTCGTTTACGCGCGCAATCACCAACTGCAATTTTGTTGTTTGGACCCCCTAAAATAGGTCGCATACAAATATACAATAGGTCTGCAAAATCCACCGAATCAGGAGACCACGGCGGATGAGACCTGCCCGACTCAATGCCCGGAACTTTTTGTGGAAGATATCTGGTCCGGCTTGGACACACGTTTCCTAAGTCGATACTTGGATGGCCTATTTTTTGGTAGTATAGTAGCAGCAGTAGACGTAGAACTAGAAGTAGAAGTAGAAAGAGAAGTAGCAGGAGAAGTGGTAGTAGAAGTAGATGTGGACGTAGGCATAGATGTAGATGTAGATGTAGAGGAAGCAGTTGTAGACATAGGAGCAGAAGTAGAAGCAGAAAGAGAAGTTTTAAGTAGACGTAGAAGTAGAGTCGAAATCGAAGTCGAAGCCGGAGTAGGGGGTAGGAATCGAAGTCGAAGTCGAAGAAGCAGTAGAACTACTAGTAGTAGTAGTAGTAGTAGTAGTAGTAGAAGTAGTAGTAGTAGTAGTAGTAGCAGTATTGTTCCTAGCATGTGTAACATTAGTGTCGACACACCATCATAGTAACAACAGTAATAGTAGAAATAAGTACCGATAATAACAACAACAACAACTTATAGTGATTATGACTGGTAATAGTAGCAATAGTAGTAGTCGTCGTCGTAGTAGTAGTACCCGTAGCAGTAGTAGTCGTAGTAGCAATAGAAGCAGTAGTAGCAGCAACAGCAGCAGAAGTCGTACTGGAAAAAAAGGTAGAAGAAGTAGCGGTATCAGAAGTAGTAGTGGTAGCAGTAGTAGTAGCAGTAACAGTAGCAGTTGGAGTAGCAGAAGTAGTACTAGTAGTTGTAGTAGTAGTAGTAGTAGTAGTAGTAGTAGTAGTAATAGTAGTATTAGTAGTAGTAGTAGTAGTAGTAGTAGTAGTAGTAGTAGTAGTAGTAGTAGTAGTAGTTGTAGTAATAGTAGTGGAATAGTAGTAGTAGTAATAGTAGTAGTAGTAGTAATAATAGTTGTA